TGAGCGGCTAATGCCCCACAGCTCACCCATACTGACTCCAGTTACTTGTGCTGGCTGACATGCATCTTCCAGCACTTTCCCTGGTTTGTAGCAGTGCATTCTGGGAAAATCCCACAGTGGGTTTGCTGGGAAGTCAGACCCACCCCCACTCATGGGACATACGACCGCAAGGGGTGTCAGACCAGGCCATGCTCCCACGTATAATACAATGCTATTCACAGCTGGCCTGAAGGCCGTTGGCTCTGCGGGCGGGAGGCTGTTCCTTGAATCTCCCTCATCTCGGTCAAAACAGTTGAAATTCCAGAATAAATCCCCTCCTGGCAATTTATTTCCAGTGGCTCTTGGGCTAACAACGTCCTTTAGCTGGAATGGTTCCTCACCCTTTCTGGTGTCTGCCCCCACCGTCTGGATGGAAAGCTCTCCTGTACCCTTCTCACCCCTACCCAGCACCGGCATGGACCCGCCACGGCAGGGGAGGGGCACGTCTCAGCCCTGCCCAGCACCGGCATGGACCCGCCACGGCAGGGGAGGGGCACGTCTCAGCCCTGCCCAGCACCGGCATGGACCCGCCACGGCAGGGGAGGGGCACGTCTCAGCCCTGCCCAGCACCGGCATGGACCCGCCACGGCAGGGGAGGGGCACGTCTCAGCCCTGCCCAGCACCGGCATGGACCCGCCACGGCAGGGGAGGGGCACGTCTCAGCCCTGCCCAGCACCGGCATGGACCCGCCACGGCAGGGGAGGGGCACGTCTCAGCCCTGCCCAGCACCGGCATGGACCCGCCACGGCAGGGGAGGGGCACGTCTCAGCCCTGCCCAGCACCGGCATGGACCCGCCACGGCAGGGGAGGGGCACGTCTCAGCCCTGCCCAGCACCGGCATGGACCCGCCACGGCAGGGGAGGGGCACGTCTCAGCCCTGCCCAGCACCGGCATGGACCCGCCACGGCAGGGGAGGGGCACGTCTCAGCCCTGCCCAGCACCGGCATGGACCCGCCACGGCAGGGGAGGGGCACGTCTCAGCCCTGCCCAGCACCGGCATGGACCCGCCACGGCAGGGGAGGGGCACGTCTCAGCCCTGCCCAGCACCGGCATGGACCCGCCACGGCAGGGGAGGGGCACGTCTCAGCCCTGCCCAGCACCGGCATGGACCCGCCACGGCAGGGGAGGGGCACGTCTCAGCCCTGCCCAGCACCGGCATGGACCCGCCACGGCAGGAGAGGGGCACGTCTCACCCCTACCCAGCACCGGCATGGACCCGCCACGGCAGGAGAGGGGCAACTCTTACCTGGCCTCAAGCTGTTATGTGAGAGAAGACTGGGGCAGCCTGCACCCTAACTCTTAATCCCCAGAGCCTGCAACCTCACCCTCACACCTCAACCCTCTGCCCCATGCCCTGAGTCTCTGCCCCCACATTCTGAACTCGCAGCCCCACTGCCTGCCACACACCAGCCGTGTGTGGAATGAATTTTGTTATGTGCAGCAACACGGAGCGTGTGTGGGCACTGTCGGCACATGGGCACACATAACGTTTGTTCCGCACATGGACAGAAAACTGACTGTCCCCCTATTTCTGAGGAAACCCCTCATCCAATGCCTCCTAAGATCACACCTGCCTTTTGCATGGCTGCATCCCATGGGGCTCAGACCTCCTCTCCAGGATGTCCTGAAATGGGACGTAGAGAGCTGGGAAGGAGGGGGCTGGCCAGGCCAGGCACACACAGTGAGTGTGTCCCATCTGTGCAGTGACATGCGAGCTGCACTCGGAGCTGCTGGGGTCACTAGCACTGTCGGCCAGACCGTTCTCAGGCACAAGGCACCAGCCTCACCCTCCCTCAGCCTCAGGGGCCCTGCCTAACACCCACCTCCTGCCTCGGCTCAGACTAACTGGCAGGCCCAGAGGGCACCGCTGGGTGCACTGCACTGACCCTTCCCGTGGCACTGAGACCACTGACGGAGAGACCGAGTCGGCTCCGCAGCCTGTGAGTGTAGCAGTGTAACCCCACCGCTGGGTGCACTGCACTGACCCTTCCCGTGGCACTGAGACCACTGACGGAGAGACCGAGTCGGCTCCGCAGCCTGTGAGTGCAGCAGCGTAACCCCACTGCTGGGTGCACTGCACTGACCCTTCCCGTGGCACTGAGACCACTGACGGAGAGACCGAGTCGGCTCCGCAGCCTGTGAGTGCAGCAGCGTAACCCCACTGCTGGGTGCACTGCACTGACCCTTCCCGTGGCACTGAGACCACTGACGGAGAGACCGAGTCGGCTCCGCAGCCTGTGAGTGTAGCAGTGTAACCCCACCGCTGGGTGCACTGCACTGACCCTTCCCGTGGCACTGAGACCACTGACGGAGAGACCGAGTCGGCTCCGCAGCCTGTGAGTGTAGCAGTGTAACCCCACCGCTGGGTGCACTGCACTGACCCTTCCCGTGGCACTGAGACCACTGACGGAGAGACCGAGTCGGCTCCGCAGCCTGTGAGTGCAGCAGCGTAACCCCACCGCTGGGTGCACTGCACTGACCCTTCCCGTGGCACTGAGACCACTGACGGAGAGACCGAGTCGGCTCCGCAGCCTGTGAGTGCAGCAGCGTAACCCCACCGCTGGGTGCACTGCACTGACCCTTCCCGTGGCACTGAGACCACTGACGGAGAGACCGAGTCGGCTCCGCAGCCTGTGAGTGCAGCAGCGTAACCCCACCGCTGGGTGCACTGCACTGACCCTTCCCGTGGCACTGAGACCACTGACGGAGAGACCGAGTCGGCTCCGCAGCCTGTGAGTGCAGCAGCGTAACCCCACCGCTGGGTGCACTGCACTGACCCTTCCCGTGGCACTGAGACCACTGACGGAGAGACCGAGTCGGCTCCGCAGCCTGTGAGTGCAGCAGCGTAACCCCACTGCTGGGTGCACTGCACTGACCCCTCCCGTGGCACTGGGACCACTGAC